AATCATAAGGTGAACATGTACTCTACAGTTATCTATATTTGTATATGTATTTCTCATTTGTATTCAAAACCAAATCATGTATGCGCATTTACGAATGTTATACAACATCATTTATAACCATTTTTTCTTCTGTTTGACTTGTGACTTTGATCGTGGACTAATCAATAAAGACGGTAAGATATATTATTTGTATACATGTTATAATAATGGGCATCTTGATACTTCACTGTATAATATATAACTTTAAAATAACGGAGGGCAAGTTCTTAAAAGGGAGTATTGAATTTGTACCACAACTATATTTACGATAAGTAGGTTCGAAGCCTCGAATGATTTGTTTTTCTTCTCAAATACTATCGTCAATCTTTTATATGATTTGAAATGACCCGGTAGATTTGTTTTACCGTGTAGAGTGACCGTCGCAATCTGCCCTGCTGGAGACTCTTTATAAAACCAAACCAATAAATAAAAATCGAATACAATTCAAAGTGATAACACGGAAAAAAATAGCGTTGCAATTTTGTTGTAAATACATGGAAGAAAATTAAATCAAACCTTATTGCCTGAAGTGGAAAGAGGTATTTATTCATTCAATAATATAGGTAAAATCGCTGACACAAAGTTCATGAAAACAAACCATTGATATTTTAAAAAAATCTTTTTGATATGCCTGTTACATTCAAACTTTTCTCAGTAGTCATTTCTTTCATTTGAAATTTTATTTTACTTACATAGACGATCTGTCAATGTTATTATTGGTTTTTTCTAGAGCCGCGTCTTATAAACAAAAATCGCAATTTAATTGCTATTGAAATCAGGCGCAACTATGTTAATACATATCATTAAGGGGTTGACGTTCATAAGGCTAATTGCCCTTTTTGTTAACCCCGCATTACCATACAATTCTGTTTGCTCCTTCCCTTTGTATTTTTGGTGTTATCGATCTTTATCTGTATATCATGTTTGTATGTTTTAATGTTTTTTGAAGAATGAAATAAATCAAATGAAATAAAATGAAATAGGCATAAGACTGCAAACTTGCTATAAATTAGAGAACTTGCGGTTGATCCAAATCAATAGCTAAATTTACCTTGTCATTTTGAACTTAGCTATTTGGAAAGGTGGATGTCTTTTCAAAACGAGTGTGATCATTTATTTTTAAATCTTAATTGAGTTATTAAAGAAATTTAAAAACAAATAATCTTAATTTGAACTCTGAATACATTAAAACAACAATATTTGTTGTCAGACATTCTTAGCTCCGTCATATTTTAAAGAAAATAAGCCTAATCTTTTTCAACGTACAATGTTACTCTAAAAACCTGTATTGTTTATAATTTTGTATTTATACTTTATAAACAAATCTAGTGGAACAACATCTGAGAAAGTCTCCATCTTCAGATGAACCGTATGCTAGGAAAACCATCGGGAGTAAGGGAGGTATCCTGAGGGTCAAAGGTCACGGGGTCACTTTGAACATCCCATCAGGTGCCTTGACAGGTATAATTTAACATTAATGTTGAATATTTGTTATTTTGTTTCTAGATCTATATAACATTTCAAGAAATGTCCGTTAAACTTTGGAAAAGTTAAAAGTTATATTTATTTCATATATTTTGCCTTTTTTGCTGTCGATTGTTTGATTTAATGATTTATTTGTTAATATATTCACGAATGTTTATTCGATTTAAAAAAAAAATATTTATTCATTTATTTATCCATTTTTCAATTTTGTTGTAAATGTTTTTGTATATTTTGTTAATTCTTGTTCAATTACTCGAAACTGCCTCATCCATGGAAATGTAATCGACGTAGGCCTACATAATTATGCAAACATGATGAGAAAGGAGTTCGAGAGATTTAGTCAAGGGCAAATTTTGTAATGAAATAATGTTTGGATTACCTCAATGTAGTACTGGTAACAATCATCAATTAAAGTTATTCAAATCGCCTGATATTTACTTATCGAAGGTCTTTGTGATTCCTGACTGAGAAAGTGGCCTTTTAGTTGAGTTTTTGTTATTAACAATATGTAAAAAGACATTGTTTTACCCTCGCCAAAATTCCCTGCAGGTAACAGAGACATCAAAGTCCAGCTTCTTGGAGAGGAACTTCCGGAAGAATTCACATCAAAAGACGAAGTATCACTATGCCCTAGCGTCAGATGTTTTCCTTCCGGTCTGACCTTTCGAGACCCTGTACAACTCACACTTACCCACTGCGCTGAGCTGACTGAACAAATTCTGTCGGGAGAGGGCGAACTGTTGCTTTACACTCGAGAGGACAGTCAGCGAGGATCCGGAGGTATAGTTCTCTGTAATCTCTGAGGATAAACAACATAATTACACTTGCCCTGAGATGAAAGTGAACAGTGATGAATCAAAAGTTCCTATGTGACGTATCTGAATGAAAGTTTAGGTAACATTAAAGATAAACTTTAGTACTGGTAATGCGATTGCATTGTGAAAGAAAAGGTGTGGAAAGGATCAGAAACAGTTGATCATGTAGCATGTAAGTAATGGTGTGCACTGCAAGGTTCTGGAGTCATCAAAATCATAATAAATTTGACCGAGTCTTGGTAAAGTAACAAGCACTGTACACAGGAAGCTTTATATGGGACAACACACATGGTGTCAGGGCTAGTACTACCTTGATTTCCTTTTCTTTCTATGTTCATTACTCAGCCAGTATACATTTTCTTCCAATATTGTTTGGCACATGACATTTATTTGTAATCTTGAACATTCAATGTAAGTTTCGTTTGATTCTGTGAGAATTTATTTCCTTCTTTTTTTACCAGAACTGGAGTTTATCTTTTAGTCTATTCAACGCATTCTTTGTATTTATCAGGTTATATGATAACGAATATGTTCTAGCTTTATGATGGTAGAATAACAATTTTCAAAAGTATTATGCATCTTGCATTTTAGGCTCCGTATTTCTTACCTTTTTACAGCTTGTTCAGCGACATTAATATTGGTAATGCTATGCCAATGCTTTTTAAAGTAAACATTGATAATTGATTTGTTGATTTCTATATCATATTCTCAAACATACATATTCTTTAAATTTGTATTGATATGATTAATTCGACATTTATATTTTCTTTATGTACATTTGATAATTTTTTCCAAATACGAGACAAGACATTGCTCAGAAAATTTAAGAAATTAAGTTACTTGCTCATAATGCATAATAAGATAAGCATATTATATAAACATGATACAACATAAACACACCAGTACAAAGTTGAGAGTTACTCTAACTTTTAACCAAACCTTAGAACCAATGCCGTTTAGCAACTTGGAGCTAGATTAATCGATTTCAATAACCGTATTCCTTTCTTTACTTTGTTACAGTAATGATCCTTTAGACCATTGCAGTTTTGATTTCTTTTCGTGCTTGGAATGGATAACATGAAATTGAGTTAACAAACTTTTAATAGACATTTTTTTTTTTTGCTGCAGATCAAAACATCACGAGGACAAAACTTGTTCCACCCGGTTGCGAGTTCTTCAGAGACAGGATCAACATCTACGTGAAGCAATTCGCAGACTGCTGGATACGCATCAAATCGAATTTCATTCATGGAAAGAAAGTCGGATGTCTTCCCTTCGTGCCTATTGAGATGCCTAGAACAAGAAGACCCATCGTCCGATGCTCCATCTATGACCTGACGGAAGGCCACAGTGAGGTGAGGAGACAAAAAAATATATAAAATACCCTTCTTTTGTAATATTTTTGTTTTATTCAAAAGAAAAACTTAACACAACATTATGTACAGATTAGGAAGCAGATGAATACATTTATATCGAAGAAAATGTGCATCATACAATAGATCTGCATAGTAGCAACTGATCTACAATGTACTACTAAATATGAATGATTTCTTTTGTAATATTGTGCAACCGACTGCTTAACTAAAATATTCAAATTAATGGATGGTTCTTTCCTGAGGACGGACGGAAAAATGCCAACATGAGTGTTGTAGTTTATTCAAATATTGAATCCAATGACCGGGGTAATAGTTTATTTGTATACAAATATGGTATAGGCTATTAACAAAAAGAATGTATCTTTTCTTTCTTTTGTCTTTATTTATATTGTAATATTGTGCAAGGGACTGCTTGAATGAAATAATCAAATTCACGGATGTTTCTTTCCTGGGGACCTACTAAAGAATGCCCACTTGAATATCTCACAGTAGTTTCTAACCAATAACTTCGTTTATTTGTCATATTTTAGCGTATCCAGAAGGAGGAAACCTTGTATGGGTTCAGAAAGCCCATGACTCAAGAGTGTGAACTGCTGGTTAGGTCAACGGGGACGGACCTACAGATTGTCATCAAAGATAAGAAACGTCGAGAATTCAAGAAGGCAAGTGTATACCAAATTGTTGTTTGTCCGGACAGGTTGGGTGTTCGGGCAGCCCGTTCTAAACAGGGAATACACAGGGGTTATCGTAATATTTTTTTTCAAAGAAATGTCTGGCCCAGTATAAATGACAAATACTGTAACTCCATGAATATCCTTTTTTCCCCCGCCAATTCCTAGACTTAGTTAAGTTTTGATTAAATGGCCGCAACACAACTTAACGCATTTATATGCATGTGTGTGTGTGTGTGTGACGGAAACACAAAAATGGTAATAAACTGTTCTATAAATCTGGAGATATATATACAAACCAAAACTGAACAAGCACAGTTCTGCATATCATTAAAAGCGTCGTTAAATATTTCCTCACAGATATCCAATGTGATTTCAGAAGAGACAGAAGTCGATCAATACAAGGCCATTTATCAAATCTGTAACATTTACACTGCTCTTTCAATTTACCCTGTAAAATAACCAGGATACAAAGGCTAAGCACACTCATCTTTCCTTTTCTTATCATTTTTTCCTTTTTCAGAAGCCAAGTTGAGCCAAATGTTGAGAGACGTACAATGTTTTTCTTTATGATATTATGTGTATTTCTATTGCTATAATACCTTTATAGACAATCAGCCAAGACAATGTTCTACAGTTAGAGAGAAACGCCCTCTTTGTGGAGCTAGACTACAGCCAGAAACCTGAGAACGAATTAAACATGGCCGTTGAACTCTTCCAAGGAGACAAAAACAAGATAGATGTTAACAGGGCGTCTCTTCAGTTCAGAACCGTGATTCAAGGTAAAACCTTTTTGCATGTATTTTTACTAAATTTAAATATTACATTTTTGCTTCATGAATGTTTCAACCAAAGTCTCTTAATTTTGTTTTCATTTTTGATATATTATTCTCTGTTAGCTTTTAAAAAAAATGGTATATTTACAAGTTTATATTGGCAACTATTATTTGTATACAATTCCGATCGTCGATCATGGTGTATAAAGTACCTAGTTCCCGCCATCATGGCCATTGTAGAGATTGTTTTTTAAATGTGTGTTAGTTTTATTATGTGAAAATGAAACTACGCATGAAATAAAATGTAGACGAAACATCCTAATGGCAAGAGTGAAATTCACTTATTTTCTTTCTTTTCTAATCCTTTTAGCTGCAAAAAGAAGAGTAGTGGATAGCGATGATGATGAACCAGAAAGCAAAAGCCAAAAGAAGTAAGTCTACTTTTCCTAAGACTAAGTAACCATAGCCGTTGTTCCGCGTCATTGATACCTGTTCTTTGCTTTACGAAATGTTCGTGGCAATGTAATATGTTTTATATGTTATACCTTATACTATATACTATTCTATATAGTTACGTTGTTTTTTAAGTTTGTAAACAAGTCATTTGTAGAGATTTACTTGTCTTAAGAATTCGACATATTAAACCTTATACACCTAAAAATATCCAACACAGGCCTTACTTTAACCGGTACACCTTCTATTCTTGAGTCACGAAAAACCCAGCAAATTGATGAGGGGAATGAATAATTTAGTTATTAACTGTACATATGTTTACTTTAAGGAAGCGTTTGGCGAGCGTTGAAGACGACATTTTGTTCAAGGTCGCGGACCAGATAGATAACGACGAGGTACTCGAGTCTCTCATGCAGGCTCTGGACATCGGGCAAGTCAGTCGACGACGCTGCCTCGAGACCAATCGCTCCGAGGGGAAGGTCACCGAAAGAGGAACGCGTGAGTTGCTCCTCAAATGGCGGTCAAAGACCAATGCTACGGAACAGCGCTCAGGCTTGGAGAGCGCCCTCACGAAAGCAGAGCTCCATGATCTGCGGACCAAACTCTTTCAAGAAGAGAAAGAGAGTCATTATAGAAACATCTGAAATATGCTGCTAAACAGTGAAATAAGTAGTATAAAATTTAAAAAAAAGTTGGTTCTTGTATAATTATAGCACTCATGTTTGACAGACTTAACACTCCTAACGCTACTGCTACTCGATTAATGATTTCAACTGCTTTAGCATGGCCGCCCTAATGGCGCTTTAGCACTTCCAGGAATAAATTCTTGTCAGGTTCCAATTTATTTCACATGGGTCGTGTTGTTGCATATTTAATTTGTTATCTTACAAATAATACTAAAAATAACATCGGTCATCCATTAAAGACCATATCCTAACTGAAAAATGAAATGGACGAATTATAAATCAACGGAAAGCTTATAAGCATGGGTGTCGATCCTTACGTAATACCTATTCACCAGGGGGGGGGATGAATGAATAGGTCACCCCCCCCCCCCCCTCCTGATGAATAGGTATAAGTTACAGATCGACACCCATGCTTATAAGCCATAGATTATAATAATATAAATTGTATGCAAGTTTACTGTCTGTCAGAGGAGTACCAGCTCTCTGAAACTTCAAAATCTAAAGCTTTGAAAATCGGAAGTTGTTGACCTAAAAACTTGCTGTCGACTAGATGACATCATCCTATGTGCAGTACGCATATTCACAATGACTTTGCATTTAATTAAGCACGGCTCACATCGCCTCAGAAATTTGGTGAACCGATCGGGTCCACACGTTATTTCGTCACTTTAACTTCGGCAAATTTGACCCCTGTTGACCTGTAATTTGGAGGGGTGCGGAAAATGAGGTTTTCATTTGCTTTTGTGCAATAATGAAAGGGTAAATACTTTGCATTCCTTTATATTTGTATTCTACATTCATTCAGTCTTCCGCTTATATCAAGTTGTATTTTTATCGGATAAGGTCTTTAATGATGTATAGTAATAAAACAGATTTTACGCTCATGGAGAGAGAAAAATCTAAATCGTCATCTATTGTGTTATGCATGTTATTGCCAAAATGAAGTAAAGCAAAATATCAACATTCATTTGATTTATGGCTTTTTTTCTATGGATAAATTGCACTATTTCAGTTTAACCAAACACTGGGTCTAGGGATACGTTTAACAAAGATAAATTTAGACCTTAGCTTAAAATTTTGTTTTAATCCTGGTTTAGAAGTTCGAGTTCAAGTTCAAGTTTTATTTATCTTTCTTTCATAACACACTTTACAAAAATGCTAGCCCAGCTATGGCTTTAGATTTTAGTAGAATGCGGGCGTATGTGTTTTAGTGGTGGAGAAGACTTTTTGGTATAACCCAGACGACATAAAGATACAAATAGTGGGGGAAAATATTACAAATTCAAAGGAAAAACAAATAACTTGTACATTCTCAGAAGTAGGCTCTTTAAACATAATTGCATTAAAATATATTTATTTTATTTTGATCCAGTCAACCATCAAATCATCGAACAGTAATATCTATACATTTTCGAAATAATACAAGGCGATGTGGATTTATTTTTGTTCCTCGCTACAAGTCTGTTTTAAATCATTCCAAGTTGCAAATGGAATAACATTCAAATTATATTACATTCACAATCATAATTAAAAGAAATCATTGTTTTTTCCGTTTAGATTGTTCGCTTTACTAGTTTGTGATTGTTCTTATACAAGTTTAAGTTTACATTGGTGTTTTGTTTTTCTTCATTCTTCTTCATTACACATAATCATAGTATCTCATGAGTGCATTTGGACAAGTGTTCTTTCTTGGGTATGTGCTGGCTCTGAAGGGAGCCGTTTTGGTAGGATGGGAGAGTTGGCGTGCAAATCACTTGGACAACAAAACAAAACAGCTCATCGTGAGCGAAATGCGAGTTCATTATTGCATATACGACAAACATTTTATTTCTACCGTAATTGAAAAAAATATAAAATTGCTTTAAAAATTCACTCTTCACTTTAATATTCTTAACAAATCTTTCATTTCTTTCTATCGGAGATAAGTTTGAATTATCGTTACAATCAAAATAAACGGAAAACATTTTCAAATGAATTAAATGCCTGCCTAAACATTTTGTTTGTATGTCTGTTATGATTGTTCATTGAATCATGCAACATTATTTTTCTTACATTTTACCTTAGAAATATAAGGTAAAATATCCTATTTGTCAACATGTAAAACTGTATGGTTTATACAGTGGTGATAGCTAGATTCGTCCTAGATCACTCCAAAAAAAAATGATAACAATAATAGTAAAGTTAATAATAAAGACATTGAACTTGACACTAAATTAATCATCCGACATCCGTTTTGCATAATGTATAAGCCAATGTGATTTTGTTATATATTTTTTTTCTTCACTTTTTCATTTTTTATATACTGGCCATAGAATGGTCATCTTAAGACTATACATTAAAATTTTGAAGCATTATCTTAAAAGGCATTACCATTACTAGGTAATTTCGTATTCTCTTTTTTCTTAACATAACTAATATAGGAATACTCAGGAGCACATCTAAATTAGAAACATAGTTGAGCACATCGAAAACATAATATACAATAGTACCAAAAATGATCGATGGAAATAATCACCGACTACAATATTTATAGATACATTTGGTTCTGGTAATACGATTGCATTGTTATATAGATTGATTGGCACCGATTACAAGGGGTAAATTAGGTAGCACACCAGTATAGGAGCATTATGTGAGGTTTCAGAATAATCAAAATAATAAGACATCCATCCAGTTTTGCTTAACGTCACATGAACTGTACACAGAGATGTATATATGGCACTAAACAAAAAATGTGACGTAAAAGTTTTACCCACAGCCTTTAACGATTATAAATCATCAAATCAAAATGTATTGGAAGAGCTACCCCCTTCAATGCACAGTATTTTTTATGATACTTCTCCACACTAAAGTAAAAAAAAAAATAATGAAATAAAGGAAGCTCAAAAATTTGTTTCCTACCTTTCCAAAAATAAAATAAACTCAAGTCAACTCAACTCAACTCAACTGAACTCAACCTTCTCTTTATGAAGAGTTATACTAGTGGTAATCACTGAGCTTTGGTAATGGCCATTCTAAATGTGTCGTTATCTGCGAATGCCCCCACTTCGTCATCATCTCTTGGGGGAGAGGGAAGATTCAGCATGACACTTGGGACCCGTTTCACAATGCCCTTTTTTTAGTCACAAATTATAAATACCAGTGACAAATCTGCTGATAACAAATCAGAAGCAAGGATTTTACGAGCTTATAACAACATAATTGTCTTTTGTGACTGGTGGCAGGTTTTGTGAAATGGGGCCCAAAACGTTGTTAATTTACTACTAACTTTTAATATTATACTCGTGGAACCAACCGCTAAAATCGAGTAATGATGAAAATAGTCCACTAATAGTCAGTCGTATAAAGACCTGTACAGTGATTTACATTGTTAATAGATACAGATTTGACAGTAAAGATACTATGTTCCATTTGCAGCCAATATCAAATTATGTATAATTTTGCAGGAATGATGAATATGTCACGTATGTCCTATCTGTGAAATGTATACGTTAGCAGTGTCCTAATATTCAAATCATGCAAGGAAACCCGTCTACTTCACTGTCAGACACTATAGTGACTGACTGACTTGTATGTTGTCTTTGGTAAAAAACAATCATAAAATGAATTGTAAAGGGTACATGATTATTTTATTTATCAATAACTGAATTCTTGAAATGACCAAAATAAAATCGATTAAATCACTGCGAAGCACAAAACGTAAGACCATTCGATACAAAGGTCTGAAAATCAGACTATTACTAAATGGATTGCAATCACAACAGTCGATTCGACAACTAATGGTCGTTAGTTTCCCACTTAAAGACATTTTCAAGCCCTTTCGTTTTTAGAGAAGTTTTAAATTAGCATTATCTTTTAAATGCCTGTGAAATTTGACTTTTTTATTTTTTGGCCTGCAAATGGGACACAGTACCTTTAAAGGGTTGGTCTGAAACGAGGTGTCGAGCCACTGCGCCAATGGTTTCTATAACCCATCCGTCAGGTACAAGTTATGTACTCCACTAACAGGCAAACACTTCAAAAACATGAATTGCTACTGACTACACAGTAAATATATAGTGCCCTCGTAATTTATTTGGGGTGGGGGTGTATAAAAGGCAAGGGACAAGTCAACCTGCTATAATTGCTATTTTCTCGTGAAACATATTGTAGTGGCTAAATCTTCTTCTAAATCCTGGAGTGATTCATATGTGTCATATTTTTTCTTTTTTTTGTCAGAGCATGTTGATTTTTTCCGAAATATCTTTGTAAACACTTCTTTTCATTGCACGACGAAGGCGTTATATTTACTGTGCAGTATTCGCTGTTATCGATTTATTTGTCTGTTAGAGGTTTCCAACATTGTGCCTGACTTGTCCCACGGAATTCAGGCTGTAGTCTATAGAAGCTTAATGAAGATGTTGTTATTTCTGTGGAACATGATCCTGGCCTGTGGATATTTAGCAATTCACGGGCTAAAGCCCCATATAAATGGATCTTGTAGAAGGATCTTGTCAAAAGCATTTGGCAAAGCCCGGGCACCCCAATTGCCTAGCGGTATCAGGATGGGAATATGTTATGTAGTGCGTGTCCCATACGAGAATCCATTTGATGAGATCAACACCAAAGCCGAACATGCCTGTAGAGGCTATAAGTGCATGTGCCATTATAGCAGTGGAGTGTTATCACTGCTAATTTGGTTGTTACTGTTTACATGATGTTTCCCATAGGTCGCATCAAATATCGTTTAAGTCGCTGACGCAGTCGTTTGAAAATCGAAAAGACGCCTCATATGCAACAATCCCTGGTGGGGCTTAACGTCCTTGATTGGCGCAAGGGAAAAACACCTCGAACGAGACCGCTCCTTTGGTCATCTCCTCTTATGCTACTACTGTCTGGTGACTCTGCGACGCCCTCTGCGTCTGTCCAAGCTACTGTCCTAAGCGTCCCCGGGAGCCTGACCTTTCCCGTGGGCTCTGGCGAGACGCCTGCCTGCAGTTCTGTGGCCTCATATTTTGGGTCTCGAGCTTGTTTGACCTTCGTCGCGTTGCCTCGCTGACGTAAGAGTTAGAGTCAATCTCTGCGTCACCCCGTATGTTCACGTGACCCATGATGATGTATGATACGCTATCTGTGAACAAAATGCAGAGAGAATGATTATAAACAATTTAAGGAATAAAACTAGTAACTAAACGAAGAAGGATAATCTGATACTCCTTGCAATAGGTATGGTCTGAAACCTTTCCATTCCTTACCATTCTCATTGTAAACGTGAGGTGTGAATATAAGTCCTGAAAACACATAATTCGACTCAATATGTTCAGGGGCAGAATTTTGTTTGTTGTTGAAATTATCATAATTACGGTGCGTAAAAACAATGAGGTTTCTCCTGTGCCCGATGCATAGGGGGATCATGTGCACTTCATATTTTGCAATGATTGTTTAAAAGATTGTTCCCTCTCGTTGCTCGTCAAATACCGCTCTCTAGTCTCTGACACAGTCCTACGATAGGCAATTTACGCCTGATGTGCAACGTCATATTGTGCCATTTACTGGCACGTTCCTTGACGTAGCACGGGAATCCAGAACCATAACCAAAGTAAATTCAAACAGAACATTTGAAACATTAAGTTCAATTACTGTCGTATTGGCAAATTGACTTCACAAGCTCGATTAGCGCAATAAATGACGCAAGCGAAATGACGCAACGCGTGAAAAAAAATCATTACTTACTTGGTTCAAGACTGTGGCATTGGCAACTCCTGCCTATCAGTGACATATCTCGAATGATGGTAACGTTGTTGGTCAATCTCTCTGTCTGCCTCAGCGACAGAGTGCCCTGTTTGAACACGTTGGCGACCTCAACGACAAGGATGTCACCACGCAGAGAGTTGTGCTTCTGTATTATGGTTCCTTCGATTGCTGTAAGGAGTGAGAAAGATTTCAAGAGAAGCGTCAAGACAGGGGAGTTCCGATATTTGTGTATTTCGCTTAAACTTTCATTACCTGATTTGTTTTGTCTAAGCAACGGCGTGTGGGAAACCCCACAAATCCCTTACAAACGGCATCGCAAATATCTTCTAGACACTACATTATAATATGCAGCCATTAATGTGTATGTATATATTACAACTTCTTAAAAAAAAATCAACTTAACTTAATTAAGATGGCATTGCACGTCACTTTTTAAAATGTGAACATTCTTAAGATATGTTACGGAATCCGAACATGATTTTTAAAGGAAATACAATAGGGTATTGAAATTGACCTTCCGAAATAAATTTCGGTAATGTTATATGTTCTGTTTCTTAGGACATTGATTTACGTTTCTGTTTTTCAGCCATTCAGATAATTGTAAACCATAGGCACGCAGATCCAGATTTAAATATAGATGCCCTCCAATGCATAGAAGGTAATAATTATGGTTACGATGATGGTGATTATTATGATAATGATAATGATTATTATTTCGATTATGAATATGTTTATGAAGAAGAATAATAATATGATGATGAGGATGATGATAATGACAATGATGAAGATGATGGTGATGATTATGATTGCACTCATAATGAGGAAAATAATGATTATTATAAAGAACATATAAATATTTATGGTTATGATTATAAAGAAGTCAATGATGATAACGAGTATGAATTTATGACCTTGGACTGCTTACTTACCAAACTCTGATGCGCAGAAACAGTTTTTGAGTCGAGGTTTGACGCAACGGCAATCGGCAATGCGGGCACTAGAGGGCTGAAAGTTGTCATAAATCATCAACGGCTCTGCGGAAAGAAATGAAATCCAGTAGTGTGGATATGGGGTAACAATCTGATAAACTATAAGATCGGTGCGTGCAGTCAGTGTGACAGAAAATGGCGTTAGATAAAGGGAAAGAGAGAGAGAGAGAGAGAGAGTGAGAGTTGGCGACAGGTCAAGAGGAAGGATGAGGGTGAGAAGGAGAGAGGGTGAAGGATAAGGAGGTCAAGATTATTTGATCATATGCTTAAACTTTACTGAACAAAGTAACAGGCATTTGTGGGTCACTATACGCCCTTCTTTTCATGTTTTTCTCTCTTGTTTTTAGGGGGGGAGGGGGGATACTTATTTTACTCAATCAGATGCCAAAATTTCAGGGTTTTTGCATTTGAAAATCTTAAGTAGTAGGCGTTCAATACTTGTCCAAATGCAATCCTTGATATTCGTTCTTCTTCGTGACATTATTTAAATTACCAAAATAATACAATCTCAAATATATACTTATTATCAGAGTAAAGAAATGAATACGGTCACAGATGATGTGCACATACAGTATTAATCGAGAGGTATCAACATTTCGATCGGTCTATTCATCACCCTCGTTAGGAATGGAAAAATATAAAACATGTGTTGCCTTCATGTTACAAGCAAGTTTGACATCAAGTGAAGTTAAACTAGAGAAAGTGACTGAAACTATTGCAAAGTAAAGAGAAGTGATTAAAGCGTAGAATAATCTTTTTTTTTTTAGGCAGAGAATGTACACATTACAATAAACAAAGGAGTTTAAGGGGGGGGGCTTTCGGATGGAAATATATATATGGGAATATATCAGAGTGCAACTATGATAAGACTGTGTCACACTTACTCATACATCGGTCGGCACACACTTCTCTCGATTCAAAATTATTTCCATTTTCCCTGCAGCCACCGTAGACGAACTTCACGCATCCTCCCTCGTTACTGTCATAGGCCCATCTCATGAAGCGCGCTCGGCAAGGTCCGGTCATGATCGGCTGTTCGCATGGGTTGTCGGAGAGAAGCGGACATGTTTGGTTGCATTCGTCATAGGTTCGGAAGTTGTTGAGATTGCCGTTGCACCCACTGTATGTAAACGGCTCGCATTTGCCCTTTGAGGTATTGAAAAACCTGGACATTTATAGAAAGGGGACAATTATTAAATTCAATTTAATAATATAGTTTCATTTTCTTCATAAAATTAAAATTAACATATCATGAAACATATATATGTAATTTGCAATGTATGAACGGAATTCCATGAAGCACAAGGCTTGTAATGGCATCGCTCATAACAAAACATACTTACATATAAATCACACAATAACTATTGTGATCTACATAATGTGTATATACTCCACGAAAGAGAGCCTAGCCAAATAAGAAATAAGGAAAACCCTATTTTCGTTATGATGTTGTTATTTTGTGTGTATTGATAGTAATGGACCTCTAGATATTTTAATTTACCGTCGTCGCACTTGCCCTTTTGAGGAGTGGGTTTAAATACAAGAGAATACTAGCCTGTATTATGTTTCCTCATTCTGCATCTTTTTCTTCTTCTTCTTCTCCTCCTCCTCCTCCTTCTTCTCCTCCTTCTTCTTGTATCCTTCTTTTATTAATTATTTACATAATTTTGTTTATCAATGAAGCGCAAAGTCTAGGGAGAAAACTAAATTTACCATCTTTGCTCTTGACTGTTGCAAGTGCCCTTGTTCCTCGGCTGCTGGCACACGGAGTTTGTAGTGCCGTACGTCCCGTCAAGTCCACCGCCCATCCCTCCCCCAGGCATGCTAGTCATTGATGGTGTAGGCAGCCCCGTCGGTGGGGGAGTCGTTGATATGCGCTGGGATAGCTCGTTCAGATACGGGCTGACAAGTTCGGGCCAATTGGAAGCTACATCCGGGTTACTGTTCACTGGTTCCCCCATATCGAGTAGCTTTTCCTCGCCCTGGATTGTGCCGGGAGGATAAGGCATTTCTGCTGTCCCGGTAGCTGTAAAGATAATTGAAATGTGCTCAATTTTACCTTGTGTTTGTTATTGATATGCTGAATTATATACCTAAACCTCATAATCATCTTTGTTTGCTTGTTACAAGTTTAGCTGAGATTCCTTGTGTTTCTTTTTTCGCTTGGGCCTCTTATTCCAAAAGTGCGCATATATCTGCATAACGTCTTTTACAGCACATGAGACGGTTTTTTACCCCTGATTTAGCTCTTGCATCCCTGTTCAATGCAAAGTGCATACACGGAATTAATCTTGAGAGAGAAAATCCTCTCATGTACTGGTATAGTGGATGTAATGCAGCTCAATATAAGTTAAGAGGACACACATAGACAAGCTAGTTCTCTACTACATCAACTCTGTTATCATACAAACTAATAAATTATATGTATGCAACGTAGGATATATAGGCAAGCTTGTTATGAAAGACAATTTGGTCTAATAGGGAGACTATATTTCTCCTCACTCAGACACTCTCGAACAAACCCACATTGACAAACACTTCCCCCCCCCCCCCACCCCCTTTCCGTTCCACAAACTCAATCTACTGCTTGAGGCCTTCTCGATACTTCCATACCATTCATATTCTCATCCTAAATATCCTGCAATTGCTATGTATTCCATATTTGGAATCGACAAAGGCATCGTATTAACTCCATAAAATGATATAAATGAGTTATAACATCAAGTATGAAATGGAGTTGTTGATAAAGTTTCCACGGATTTAACTTACCGTGGACGAAAAGCTGGTATGACCTGGTGACGTAACCAAGCAAAGAAGCTGCCACGCATGCGTAGTTCGCTGTATCCTGGATCTGGGCGCCAGACACAGTGAGTATTCTACCGTCGCTAGAAACTAGAAAGAAAGTTCAGAGTTCAAGGTTAAAGCTAAAAAGTTCTAATATGATTTCCTCAACATCATAACTGTAAAAGAAGTTGAAAGCAGAATACATAAAAAACACATAATCACACTTGTCAGCTCATGTCGCATATATATATATATATATATATATTCCTATGTTTCACAATCATTATGAGGCTAGAAAGGCAACTCAAAGATCAGTAAGTCTTAGAAAGCGAAGAATATATGATCCGAGACAGTAGTTGTTTGATAGAATTTGGAAGGATCAGTTAATCCAGGAAATATGGATGGATCCCACTACAAACTCTAAGCGATCCCATTTTGGGCAACAGTATACGTATAAGGGATTCCCCATGGGGCATATTTGGATGATAATCCCAGCTCAGGTTTAGGGCCGTTCATAGTCACGCGTATGACAAATACCCTTAAAACTGGTTGATTCATTGTGAAGAAGTGAACTCTCAACGTTGGTTTATTTCAAGTATTTTAATTATTCTACCTAAAGACTTTTTCCCGTTTTGTCGACACAAAATATCATATTATACTGAAGAACAAATGGGGATAGAGATTGAAATTATATGATTTTGATTATGATGTAACAATACGTATTATGATAATTCGGTTGTCAAGCGACGCGCCATTTTAATTCAATTCGCTCGTACGCATTGTTTGTCTATGTTTTGTTGCAACTGATTGTAGTTTGTAATATCGAGTTCACTATCTGAATAAAAAATAACATTGAAACCGGTCGTAGAGGAGAAGTGAACTCTCAAAGACTGGTGTGTGACAATGTGATTTTCTATCTAGAGAATGGCTCTTTAAACGTGTCTGCACTAGTTTGGCTAGGAGGGATTAGACCTCCCTGCTGGTCACTGACAGATGGTTATGTCATCAGATCAGCCCTCAATAAACATAAGAAAAAGGGGACCATGGGGGATCAACGGTCACCACTTAGGCATTGTTGTCTATATAGAGGGCGCGAGTGGCTACAAGTAGTGCAGACGGGCTTAAAGAGAAGGTTGAGTTCTGGGAAGAGGTGAAAAAAAAATTGTGAGCGTTATCATTGTTTTTTTGCAAGTGTTGACAAACTTCTGATAACAAATGTTCCGTGAAAAGCATGGCTCTTCAAATGCCTTAATATTCGAAATATGGCATGTAACAGCAGACAAATCGGGACGGATTTTTATGCCACATGTTCGTGTAGTCCCATACACATATTTCTGTGTACAGTGCTTGTAACTTTACCAAAATAGGGCCAAATTTCTTATCATTTTGATAATTCCAGAACCTTGCAGTATACACCAATACTTATATGATAGATGATCAACCCTTTTTGATCGAATCTACACCGTTCCTGTCACAATGCAATCGCAGGGCCACCCTTATAAAAAAGTACCATGGACACAATGTTTTTTGGTACAAATTACCATCCACCATGGAACCATGGTAAGAATGGTATCAAACAATGAAATTCATTGTTTGATGATCCTATGTTTATCATTTTTTGATACCATGGTTACCATGGTGGATGGTAATTTGGAACAAAAAAAACATGGTTAACATGGTACTTTTTTGTAAGGACAGAACTCAACTTTTTCTTTAAATACCTTTCTTGTTCCCCGTCGTTGATCCAGGAGGGAAGACATCAATGTTGGGTACGCTTGCTCCAGGTTGGATGAGGATCCAGCCATAGGATGTAGGTATCCTGGAGGATGCATTGCAGTAGAGGATGGCTGTTTCCCCTTCATTAACCGTCAGTAAACCAGACTGGTCATCCACCTCAGATATTACTGTAATCATTTAAGAACAAATTTTGTTTGTAATCATTTTACAAAAGCATAACTGAATGTCTTTCACTATCAGTAAGCCAGACTGATCATCCACCTCAGATATTACTGTAATGATTTAAGAACAAGCATTTTACAAAGGCATAACTGAACGCCTTTCAATATCAGTAAGGCAGACTGATCATCCACCTCAGATATTTCTGTAATAATTTAATAAAAGGTATTATATACAAATAATACATGTTTGCCAGTGCATTAGTGAATTTCCAATGCACGCAGGTTAAGTCAAAATTAGGATAATTAACGAGGCTCGTCGAGTTCACTGTCTGTCTTATTGTGACTTAACCAAGTGCAGGGCATATCACTAGTGCACGAGCTAAAATTCATGTAGTATTTGTTTTATAACATGGGTCTACAATATGAATATAAAGTCGATAAATATGCGGCTGTTATCACCAAAACGCACTCCCCGTGCGTATGGTAAACATTATGATCCATTTCGACGCTTCTCATTGGCTACATTATTGAACCTATTTTATAATTTTGATTAGTAAACTTGTTTGTATAGCACATTATACAAAGGCATCACTGGACGTCTCTATGTGCTTTACATAACATCATACAGGAGGAATGGAAATGGTTTACTGGGTTTAAAATTGTGAGATCTTACAAACTGCTATGAAGCGAAAAGAGACATGCAATTATGCCTTTTTGTTATGTTATACAAAAGCTTTTAATTAATATTATTGTTATAACTTCGAAACATTTGGACTCCCGAACATTAAAAGGAATAATGTTGCTACGCCATGAAAATTCATGGTTTTGGGAAGGATGTGGGCGTTTCCGAATCGAATTCCTTGTGCTAATAAAACATCTGTGCCTGGTTTTTGAGGATACATATCAGTTTCCTGAGTATCCAAGAATAAACAAAAAGGATTTACAACTTAAAGGGATCCGGTAACTTTGTCTCAGATCCTTAAACAAAATCCTTGATTTAGCCCATGCTGCAATCATAATTATAAACCTTTAGGTCATTCAGGAATCCTATCACTTTAACAAGCCTGTCTGGTTATCAAGATATTTGAGATTGAAAATCTAAATTTCGTTTTGCGTTTTCCTAACGGTTTTCATAACATTATAGTCTATTGGAAAAAGATGAGTACGGTAAAACCGGTCAATCAAAAATTTTACTTTTTGATGCACTTCATGATCGTTTTGTAGCGCATTTTGTTTAGGGCTTCAATTTTACACCATATCACAGACTGATAACATGTACGGCCATGGATCTCAGATTTTTGTTAAACGATGCCTTTAACCTTACATTGCCATCAGTGCCAATTGGCACGGTGGTTCGTATACCATACGTGTAAAAAAAAAAGAGACAATAGGGAATATTGATTTAGGCAACACAATGTATTTGTACAATTTAGGCAACACAATGTATTTGTACAATAAGACATTCCTGGTCTTGGTTAACTCCATGACAACTCTTCTAAAAACCGGTATAGATTATTAAATCTACCACTGCAAACAGTTGAATATTATATCTTGAACCCTTTGTTACATTTTTCCTGAATCAATATACTGTGGCCAAGGGAGATTATATATGTGGCATATGAAGAGCTAAAATAGACGTGCCTGGTAGTCGAGGATATATTTCATATAAATACTATTTCCTGAGGCTCCCAAGGTATAAGGAGTTACGATTTGATTTGTTGACACTTGCTGGAAATACAAGCAGAGATGTTTTTTTATTAATAAAAGTGACAAATTTGCTAAACCTGGTAGTTAGTTATAGCTCGATTTGTAAAATAACCCATTTATATTAGACTCTGTAAACCATAGAGGAAAATAAGTTGTAGTTCTACATTTTTAACTTTGAGCTTGGGATAGTGGATCCATTACTAATATATGAATTGATCGCGAATCATGGCTAAATACAAGCTAAACTGTAACTGCCACAGATAACCACGTTTTTAAACACAAGGTCATTTAACTAATGTCACGCAGTTATAAACTTTCTTTTTTTACTAGATTCAATAGAATTATTAATTTTTCCCTTCTACTTGTAAATGAACGAGCGGTGAGTTCAAAACTTAAAAATAATGATAACAGCTACTATTGCAGCAATACAAACATCAACATTTCTGACGAATCACAAAACCACCGATCCTCATTTGAACAATCAAAGGAATTGTTAGTGATGACACATACCAACATCATCTTCATCATAATCATCATCATCATCATCATCATCATCATCATCATCAGCATCAGCATTATCTTCATCATCGTCTTCATAATCGTAATAATAGTAACACTGCTATTACTACTAGTACTACTACTAAAACTATTACTACTACTACTACTACTACTACTACTACTACTACTACTAATAATAATAATAATAATAATAATAATAATAATAATAATAATAATAATGATAATAATAATAATAATAATAATAATAATAATAATAATAATAATAATAATAATACAAACAATGATAATATTAGTAGAAACTAATAATAATGATAACTTTTAATCTTACCTGGTGGTTCCGTAGCAATTGTTTCGATCACTGCTCTTTCTATGACGTCACAAGTAAACATTAACAAAAAGGAAAACAAAGAAAGATAGAAGAAACACATAATTAGACAGATCAAACAGTCGTTTCAACAGATATTTTAATAAAGAACAATAGCAACTAATGATGTTATGAAAATAATAAGGTAACTTATTAAAATATAGACATTTTTATGAAATAACAAAGAAGTGTTCGTTTAAATCCGGTAATGATGGGAAATATAACAAAAATCTTATATGCGTATGTAAGTAATTAAGCAAAACAAATGTATCCACAAATTGATTATGAGAATAGAAATGGGAAATATATAATGAATTTCAATTTATTTGTTATGTTTTTTACACTCGACCAGAGAAAACTTAAGATCGACTACCCAAAGCCTTTACTATGAAATATTCAAATACCAACACTAGGGATAAAACAACATAAAATGATAATGATAATAATGATGATACTAATGATAAGTATAACTGTTGCAAAGGAAAATTGATCAGTAAGTCCCAACTAATTTTCAAAACACTTGGGCCATTAGCCGATAAGGCTTTTCAGTAAACGATATTTCCAGCTGCAAGCATTAATGTATATAGGTTTATACTTTGCAGGAGCAAACGACCTGTTGATAAAGAGTAAAAAACAACTAAAAGCTCGTTAAATCTGTTTCTGATTGTTTTTTATAATCTTTTAAGCGAGTTCCTCCCGATAAATATTCCGTTATCACATTTATAGATAAAGTTAGTTACACAAACATAGTTTGGTGCATCAACTAATTAAGATATCTTTATTATAAGTTATCATTATCATAATTCAGTGACATCAAAGGCCAGTAAATCAGTTGACTACGAGTTCATTCAGTAAATAACTAATTCATTGATTGTCATGATTTGTTAATTCGAAAATTCATCACAATCATAACACACCGAATAATGACAGCTCCCATCCCCTCTTAAATAGCTAATTTTAAGATCAGTTTTAAAGCTTGATGAAAGAACTGATCTCGAAAAACATACATACATCATTCTGTACATATACGAAGGAGATGTAAATAAGTAGAATATAAATGAATATTCAACATAATTTTAAGCTGATTTAGATTTCTTTATAAATTTGGAATACAGTATGAGAGACTTTAATTCTGAAGAAGTGGATAATTCATTATAAACAAATATTAACAATAGATAAACAATTTAAGGTAAACTGGTTAGTATGTCAATGTTTTCATGATATAAAAGGGTTCATTGACGCTTGAAATCTATCCAGGCCAGAAGTGCAAAGGGTAATTGTAAAGATATTTTGGCCTTATATATTGAGGGGGTGGGGACGGGTGTGGGGGGCTGGGGGCTGTCCCCCATTTATATTAAAACAAACAAAAACAAATATCTTACCTTGTGGGGCTAAACACGACTTTCCACCGCAGCTGTTGAGGCAGCATTTGTGTGGCCCATCACAGTCCACGTCGTAAACGCATTCGGCATTGTCACAAACTGTGTTCGTTAGTCTGTTAACAACTTCAATGTCTGGACACTCACCGCTCTTTTTATACATAAAACCTGTTAAATAGAATGATAAAAAACAGAAATTTAAAATTAGTTATTATTTGTATAATCGTTGATGATAATGTGAAGGTTGAATTGTTAAAATGAATGAATATAGATTATGAATGAACCACTATTACATTAATTAATCAAAGATTTATGAAGAAAATATAAACAAATCCTTGAGCTCGAAAAATCCACTAAATTGGATTGAGAATGTTAAGTGTGCATGAGGCTGAAACCAGGGATGTGGCACTTGGCAGGAAGGAAGCGCGGAAGGATATGATCTACAGGGACAAGTCAATTACACCTGTAAGTACACCCAGTTGATCAGCAGAGAGTAGATAGATCCCATGCTGTTTTCAACTATAACTGTTGTTAGTTTCAATCTACCAACCAAAGCAGATCGCAAAGACTTTCGAAACATTTTGTTTGAAGGCTGATTCCAAGTCTTTTATTTCATCTTCTAAAATGCTCAAATGACAGATTATGTAATCCAACATTATTTCTTTACTTTGTACCATATGAAATTGCCCAAATGTTTACTTCTTGAAATATTGTTTATCGTATAGGTACGCCTCTAGTTAGGGTACATATGAGAATATAAATCTTATACTTTTAGAAGTGTCAGGAAAGATTATCCGAGGACAAAGTTTTACCCTTAATTGTCCTAAATGAAGGGAGAACAAGGGGTCATTCTATGAAACTCGAGAACATTAAGCAAGGCCTGATGTGCAACATGCCACTGTTCAAATCGTGACATTAGTACCTAAAGCAGTTTACCACAAGAGTTGGTATCAGGACCGTTGTGATTTATTTTAAAATGAGCTTGATAGATGCTGGAAGAATGCTGTTTTAATAGGTAAAGTATTGTAAGGTAAGTAAAGTAAAGTATAGTAAAGTAAAGTAAAAAGTATTATACAGTAAAGTAATAAGTATGATACAGTAAAGCAAAATTAAGTATCATTAAAAAAAAAACTTAAGTACGGAAGTAAATTATTATTTAAGGGTAGTCAACTTGGAGGGGATGCTGAAACGACGAATCACGAGTCGTCCGTCACCCTTCGGTAAATTTCGGAAGGGTCAATCACGAACCCGATGGTAAAGACTTTCAAGAAATCAAGTAACAATGAGACCAATTAAATGCATAAATGTATTGCCTGTATATGAATCATTCTGAAATCGCACAATATTCTCAGGTCTAGGTAGTGACGCACAGGTTGAGCCATATGAAATTTAATATTAGCTTTATATTATAGAATTGTTTTGCTATCGCGCTGAATACGGATGAACGTCAAGGGGTAGATTCTCCTTTTGAATTGATTTAGGGAAAAGGAACATTTCTTCTTCTTCATCTTCTTCTCCTTACTCTTATTTTTCTTGTCCATCGCCATCTTCTTCTTCTCTTCCTTCTTCTTGTTCACTTTCCTTTTATTCCTCTCCTTCATATTTTCCTTTTTCATCTCCTTCTTCTTCTCTTGCTTTTTTCTCTTTTTCTTCTTCTTCTTCTTCTTCTTCTTCTTCTTCTTCTTCTTTTTCTTTTTCTTCTTCTTCTTCTTTTTCTTCCTTTTCTTCTTCTTATTATTATTTTTCTTTTTCTTTTTCTTTTTCTTTTTCTTTTTCTTCTTCTTCTTCTTCTTATTTTTCTGTTTCTTCTTCTTCTTCTTCTTCTTCTTCTTCTTCTAACTCTTCTTTGAGTTTAATGCACTCCTCAACATGCAAATAAATAATAAAGACAATGTGATAATAAAGGAACTTTAAACAAATAATCCAAACTTCAAAAAGCAGAGAGTTCAAACAAAACTATGCCGTTGTTATTCCTATGCCGAAGTTATAGGAAAAGGGAGGTCTTAAGTAAGCGAATAGTGGTTCATTACCGAGTACGTGTTTATTGTTTTGTGGAATCCTTTTTTCTTCTACCGTTTCCTTTTAAAATCGAACTCTTCTACCAGGTGACCTTTTCTCATAACACGAACATTGTTAGTGTAAACCTGATTATTTTAGCTCCACTTCAGCTCTTGTTCTGTGTCATTTCGTTAGAATATTGTTATAATCGTGTTAATATACTCGTACAAAAGATCCTGAATACTCACACAACTGAAGATTTTAAAAAGAATCGTCTGTATTATTTAAACTGATTTCAAACAATTGTAAGAACAGAACTTCGTTGAAAAGTATTGTTTTCCATTCTAAAAATAAAGAATAAATCACGGCCGGTCATTATCATGTTAAAACACAGCTATACAGTAGGCTTGTGGTTGCACCATGTGAAAACATCAGTTTCATAAAACAAATACTACACATCATTTTTATCCGGCCATTAGTGATTAAAATTACCCACACTCGGTACCTTCGAAGTAGTCCATACACTCTCGGCTATCGCTACGGGCATGTTAGACTGTTCCAAAGGTAAATTGTGTGGGTAATATATAAATAATGCACTGCATTGAGGGCATTAGTAAGAATTACCCACATGCAAGGTACCTTTGGAACAGTCTAACACGCCCGAGGCGATAGCCGAGGGTGTTTGGACTGTTTGGGTAATTTTAATAATACCCGAACAAAATGTTGTGTATTATTTATTTTTATAAAATCATGACGTGGATCCTTGTTATTTGATAAATCACCCTTATCTCAAAGTCCGTACTTTACTAATTCTAGGTCTACATCTATGACTAATCTAGATCTAACTTACATAACTAACGCGTTTTAATTTCCGCGGCAGCCATTTTCGCGAGTAAAAGTAAAACGATACATCTCAATGGATGCGATCGCAAAAAATATGATCGCCAGTGACCGGTCATTACCGGTGGAGAGGGGCACTTTAACACTTCACTTCAGAAAATGGGACAACTTCAACAGTTAAGGACGGCGAGGCAAATACTTCTTTCTCAGACTTAGACATTTAAAAAATATATATATCATTTGGTCTTAAGGAAAAGGAAGAGACAGGATTTCCAACTTGAATATTTGTGTACAAGACAAACGGAAGAGTTATACGAGACTCTGTCTTAATCCACAACCAAATTGCGAAAGGGAGATTCGCATAAACTTAGTGATCTCATATTTAAAACATTCATAACTTTCTTATTATTGGTTCAAAATATTTCTGAATTTCCACATCTCTTTATCAAATTTCTCTGCTTTCATACAAATTATTTTATTAGGAGAGTTGAATTGCAGTTTTTAATTTGTGAGGTCGCATAGCAAACGTTATTATCATATGAAATACCCAACCGGATGGGGTTTAAAGACATTAAAGGTAAAGACCAGTATTGAAAACGCCCCAATTTTAACATATGAAATGGAAGCTCTTATTACCAATCATGTGAAAGAATATGTTTAGAATGCATGATGATAACATTTTTGGCGGGAAACCGCCTACTAATTTATATATTTGGTAAATTAGTTTATCTATTGGCCTGTGAGAGATAAAAACGCACGTGTCGCGCACGTGTGCGAAGTCCCAAATACATCTTTCTGTTTACAGTGCTTGTAACTTTATGAAGACTGGGCCAAATTTATTATCATGTTGATGATTCCAGAACCTTGTAGTACATCTATGCTAGATGATCAACCTTTTCTGATCGATTTCACAACGTTTCTTTCAAAATGCAATCGCATGACCATAATTGGTTTTTATCTTTAATCTACATGTATCACACTCGACCCAGGTGATGTTAATGGGTACTTGGCAGAAATCAGTTCCTTGAAATGCTAGACTGCCATAATGGCAGCCTTGCTAAATCAGAGGTAATAGTTACGGAGCGCCAGGAGTGTCAAGTATGACAAATATGAGCGCTATACAAGAACCCACTACCAATATCAATTGAACCTTTAATGAGCCAAGCTTTGAATAGAAACGAGCGTAGCTTGTCCTAAATAAATTTGGGGCACTGTGTACCCTGCCCCTACTCGGCTCAACTGCCTTTCATTGTGATGGCAGAAAAGGGGTACATGTCCACGAAGCTGCTGTTTCGATTCTTTGAAATTAGATAAGATCATTTGATCACCAAGGAAACACTTTGAAAGCGATATTGGGAAATTGAGGTGAAAGGGGCACATACTAAAGTGCAATATTTAGAAAGTGAAAGGGACACTTATTAATAACACCGAGTGGGTATTTATCATATTTGATAGAAGCGTTTATAGAGCATCTGTAAGAAACGAGTGAGGCAACTGCTGCAAAGAAAAAAGAGGCACTAGAGAAAAAAAAAGGATTTCTTTCTGAACAGGAAACGCGGCACGTGTCGAAGTAAAAGGGGCACTTACTTGATTTGGATGTGCACTCAAGAAAAATAAGGGTAAGAGGCACGTTAATAGTAAAAAGGAAAAGAGGCAGTAATGTGAAATAAAAAGGGGTACTGTTAATGTTAATTGAAGAAACAAAATCGCCCAGCTCCCCCCCCCCCCCCTGGACCGCACCTGTGGTCATTATAGTTCGGTTGCGTGCATATTACTTTGTTATGCTATAGTGTAATACAACATAATTATTTTTTTAACACGATTTTGTAGACATTGTAACCACAATACGATTTATAAACTTGCTCGTCTGTTTTAGAGATTAAATAATGAATGTATTAATATATACATACATGTTTCAGTTTATCACTCTGGGTGCAAAAATGATTCGATGTGTAGAGATCTGCCTTGTTATGTATTACTACAAAAGTATAAGTGCAACCAGCTGTTAAGTAACTCATTGTGTTGGATGTGAAAATTTGCACTTTGCGTGCCCAAGGCCATGAATTGCTGCGCTAAAATGGCGAACAATTAGGGCGGCATTTGATTTAAAAACAATACGCACTGAAACCGGATTCATACTTCGGGAGATTCCGGAAATGCAAGTCGGGTGTTTTCCGATGTTTGGTCGGGTGTTTTCCGATGTTTGGTCGGGTCGATGCACTCAAACTTGGGTTACGATAATGGGCTTTGATGCGTGTTTTATCGCCGTTGCCATGAAACTGATAAAATGTTCAACCTGCACGCTAAGGGAAAACTAAACGAGTTTAGGT